AGGGCGTGTTGGATTGAACGCCAAGGTGCGAGGTCTATCGTGCCATTCACCTGCGTCCTCCACCGTCTCTTGTCTTTTTGACACTGTCTTGAATCCGAGCCCCGATGGAAGAGGGGGTGATAGATACTGTGCGAGTTTAGTTCCACTGTAAACTACTTCACGCACAAGTCGCCACGCCTGTTGAAACTTGCTGTGAACCACACGGTTGACATCGTCGGATCGACGGTCAAACAGTCGGTTATGCCAAACCCCACGCCCACTTCATTACCCTGCGCTACCACCGCCCTTCCCGCAACTGACACCCGCACCACCGAATTCACCTGCCCACACTGCCCACGCACATTCACTTCACGCATCGGCCTGGTCAGTCACTTATGAATCCATCGCACAGAGACTGAGGAACCAGTGCCTGGAGCACCAAGCTATACCCACCAGGCTCGACTCAACTGCCCAAACTTCCCTCGCACATTCAGGCATTGCATGGGCCTATTCGGCCACATGCGCATCCACGACGACCCGCGGTAGACAACCGCCGGTTACACCACACATCCATACACTCCCTACCTTCCTCCACCATCACCACCACGCATCAACACTCACCCACAGCATGCACCAACTACCACCTTCCACGCAAGTGGGAAGTGTGCATCTCGACTCGGTCCCCATGCGGCTTCGGCTGCACGGGTGACTTGATTCCGAGACTATCCCGACACTTCAAGTGTCGTGGATAGGAAGGTTGCTGATTGACGCCCGCTCTCGGTTCACGCAGTTCGTCGCGTTGTGTGTGTGCGCTGGTGTGTGGAGTGGCGGACTGGTGGGCTGGGAAAGGGGTGAAGCAGCACCTTCCACGGCCCTCTCACGCAAGTGAGAGACACGCCGTTCAACCCCGTTGAGTGAAATCCTGGTGTTTGTGTGTGTATGGGGGGCCAGGTCGTGCTGTGGCGCGCGCAGTCACGGTCAGTCGACCTGTCAGCCACCGCGCCCATTCCCCACTCCAGTTTGCCGGCCGGCTCGGACGGCGGCTGGGGTGTGGGAATGGGATGGGAGAGTGAGGTCGACAACTTAGCGCACTTTCCTCACTATAATCAATCTGACGCGCTTGAAGCTATCACGGTGCGCTAAAAGCCGTGGCTTGGAAGGTTGCAAACTGACGGGGTAACCTGGACCTCCTCCTTAACTGAAGGCGGTCTGAGAGTCAGGCTACAATGGCTTCTTTTTAATGTGGCCTTTATGGCACTCCCACCACAGTGTGGGATCCGAGCCAGGCGTTGGCGGCAAGTGTAGGTGCGGCTTCGATCGCACGAAGGTTTAAAAGACCTAGGCGAAGCAGTTTTCATCAAAGGAGGAGAACGCCCGTTTGACGAGGTATAGAATGGACATCGCCGACTTGGCTACCTTTGAGCATTGCAGCTAAGGCCTAAGCGAGGTTGTGATCCATACACCCAAGTCCTTCTGGGTGTCGACTTCTTGCAGTGGTTTGCCAGTCAGACGGTAGACCGTGTGGTTAGGAGAACTGGTTCTGCCGACGCGTAGGAAATTACACTTGTTTACGTTGAACGGTAGAAGCCAGTCGTTTGACCACTGCTCGAGGTGGTCCAGATTTCTCTGCAGTCGCGCCTCTTCAACTTCGCTTCGTATGGTACTCCAGATCTTTATGTCATCGGCAAACATTGCGACATCGCAATTTAGCTCGTTTGCGCAGTCATTGACGTATACGAGGAACAGTGTAGGGCCAAGAACAGAGCCTTGGGGAACACCACTCTTAACGGAAACCTCGGCAGATTGTTGGTCACTGACGTGGACGGCTTGAGAGCGGCCGATTAAAAAGCTTCGAATCCACATCAGAAGCTTATCTCGCACTCCTGTACGGCTAAGTTTGTATAGAAGGCGGCGGTGACGCACACTATCGAAGGCCATTTTAAAGGCGATATAGATGACATGCACCAAATCTCCTCTATCAACAGCCCTAGTCCAGTGTTTCAGACAGTAGAGCAGGTTTGTCACACAGGATCTGCTTTTGCGGAATCCATGCTGAGAATCGGAAAGCAAATGGTTTTTTTCAAGGCACTGCACTAATTTTTGCTTTATTATCTTCTCCATAATCTTACAGCAAATGGAGGTGAGGCTGACATGTCTGTAAGTGTTCGCAGAGACTCGACTTCCACCCTTGTACAGCGGCGTAATCCACGCCGACTTCCAGTCGGGTGGCAGATATCCGGTCTCGAAGGATGTATGGAAAAGCATGGAGAGTGGCTTAGACAACTCACCGGCGAGTTCCTTCAAAATCTTCGCCGGAATCTCATCGGGACCTGGTGATTCGGATTCCTTTAGCCTCAGCAACTCCGTCAGAACCATACCCTCAGTGAACTGGACGGTCTCTTTAATTGGGGTGTCTTCGAAGGATTGAAGGGCAGAAGGTTTGAATCCTGTTTTGCTACTGAAAACAGAACGAAAAAATTCCGAAAGGTGATCAGCTTTCGCCTTGTCGTCAGTGAGATGTTCGCCTTCAGCAGTCCTTAGCAGGGGTATTGGGTCCTTGTTCCGCGTGCACTGCCTAATGTAACCGTAGAATAATTTGGGGTTCTTCGCGGCACGGTTAAGCAGATCCCGTTTGAATTCCCTTCTAGTTTTGAGGATAAGGCCCTTCACTCGATTTCTTTGAATTTTGTGCGCGCATATAGATGTGGGGCTCCTGTCAGAAAGCGGTTTTTTCCACAGCCGTGAGGATTTACCGTTACTTAGTAGCCTTCTCATACACAGTCGTTTTTAGGTGTCCATTGGGTTTTTTATGGGTGAGACTGTCTGGAAACGGCAGTAAGCTGTTCATTCCTGCCTCCGCTGTAAACGGGATGCAAGAGGAAACAGACTACGGAACATCATGGAATTCTTGAACCATTCACCGCTTTTTTGATACCGAGCGTATCAGCGACATACCGAGTCCGAAATTTCAACCTATGGGTTGCGAAAACTAGGGCCTCTTCCTTTTGGAGAACTAGCTCTACGGTAAAGCCCGAGAGCGGCAATGCCATCGTTTTCTTTTTGACCTTTGAAGGCCAAGTATGCCGTTAGACAGAATTTCAGCATTTGGACGAGATGCCTCTGTTTTACCGTCAGGCTCGTCTCGTCGCCCTAAATCTCGAGCAGCTCGCTGGCCGTTTGGACTACCAGGTCTTGCGGAGTCGAAGCAAGGAGAGTTGTGACGTCGGATGTCGACATCATCACACCTTCGTTAAGTTTCATAATCTTTAGCCACTGCAGAAACTGTGTCGCTAGACAGACTGTTATGGCCGCATCTGCGGTGAGAAACCCGAGGTTCTAATACAGCCATTTAGACAAATTAAATGTTGGGGCAGCGCGCAGTATCGCGATTGGCCGGGGGGAATCCCAGCCTTTTGTACTTTGGTGGTCCATAGAGACTTGGTGCGGCCGCATTTGTTGGTTTAATGACCAGTCGTACCGATTAACTTATTGCCTTGCTCGTTTGCATGTCGGTGAGACCTTGTCTAGTTCTTTCACCAGCTTCCTTATCAGCTCATCGTTACGTGGGCGGTACGCCTGCCGGTTACCCAATAGAGCATTGTCCTTCTGAATATAGTCTGCCTTATCCACCACAACTGTGGAACGTTGCTTGTCTGTTGGCAGAAACATGATGCTGTTGCCAGCCCTCAGTGCATTCAGAGCACTCTGCTCACATTGTTAGCTTTCTCGTCTGCCGGACTACTGAATGGTTCAGCTGTAGTGGCGACTGCGCCAGCATCGATTAATCGCAGGCGCGAGAGTTTCTCGAAGCTCGACATTCAAACAACAATAGCATCAACCGTCATGTCGATCTGGACGCTCATTGCGAAGGTTTGTGTCCACGGCTGAATAACTTGCGCCCACCCCCAAGGCTACAGCTGCTAGTCCGTGTTCGGATATGAAGAATTTCACGGACTCCGCAGCCCCTCTTCAGAGTGAACCACAACTGGAATCCTCAGCATCTCTCCTACTTTCCGGCCTCAATCTATACACATTATCCACTCCCCTCATATAGACGTCTGTTTCGTCGATGTAACGTCTATGTCCTCCTTTCTCTCCAGTGCGATTATAACTCTCCCCATCATTCATTTCCTCTGACGACGGGTTGGTGTAGCCGACTGAAAATCGACGACTACACCGTGATTTTCTGACGAGCATTCTCATTTGAATATATTTGTAAATCGAAATCCCTATTCACACCCATATTTATGTAAGGGCTTTTCAATATTGTAGTTTTTGTGTAGAAGTTAGCTCAGTAGCATAAAAGCGATTTCTAAATTATGGATTATCTGAATAAAACTCTGCTTAACCGATAAGTTGGCATAATTTAGCAGATTCAATGGGCCCAATGATAGTTTTATACTTGATTTAAATTTGCATCCACTGTGTATGTGCGTAGTATTCTCTGACGTTTTTTTTGTAAGCGCACATTTTTGTTTACATCATTTGCAAAGTGCTCCTAAATTAATCAGCATTTTTAGCTTTCACGCTACAAATTGTTTTCCTTAAGGCGTTAGTCATCCGTGTTCTGAATTTCGCAGGGTATTCGGTTACCTAACTAGGGTTTAAGGATCACGCATATACTTGAGGTATATTAACGTTATGCTGCAAAATCTGGAGAAGCAATCAATAAACCATAAACCGTTTACCATTTATTTTTAATGTATGCGCAACCATCTGTCAGTTCTCGCTTGTTTCACATATCGCCAGATGTACCGCCCATTGTTTCGACAAAATATGTTTGCCATTTTGTCCTCCCTACACGTTTTTCCGTGAGCAAATATGCGGATTTTGGGGTACTTCAAACTTCGACTAAAGTAATTTTATATTTTTAAGAAAGTCCAGGTCCATTTATTTTTGTCTGAAGTCATAAGCATTTGTTCAAATACCCCTAAGCATGGGACGTTTTAATGTGCTATACTTATAAATACCTGGCGGTGGGCAACGGTTCAATTGTCGAAGTGTCTGTAGACGTCCGCGGTATGCGGCTGAATCTACTTTGCACGTTTCTATTGCTGAGTTTAGGCCTGACAGGTAAGAGAATGCAATTTGTATTTACTTACGAAACAACAGGAAGTCTCCGGCTTATTTTTCACTTGTCTCTTCTAATCAAAACAATCATCAACTAATTATTTAAGGAGACATATCCAGAAGTATTTGGCTTCTAGTCTCATTATTTTTTATTCATTATGTAACCGAGAGTGTATATATGTGTATAGGCATAGGCAACGCGTAATTAATCATATGCACCTGATCATGTGAAGAAAACATTTCAAGAAATCATATTATTTCTTGAATGCTAATTATAATTGACCTTAAAGGCTTCAAAGACTGTCGCTTTGTTTTTATTCTCGGAAAAATGGCTTTCATAGCCATACTTTCACCATACTAAAACATGGAACGATAAACCGTTGATTCGGTCTGTGACGCACCGTTGACCAGTACAGGGTGGTTGTGTAATTACTTTCTTCGACTGACTGGTTTCTACTGGATCAATTTTGTTATGATCGTTGGTGTTGTCGACCCTGCTGTAGCTCTCGATTCTAATCATAGGGAGTTTCTCTGAGAGCTAATCTAGCTAGGCGGTTTTCGGAAGAAACTTTTACTGTGACCATGACATGCTGCTTTTCCAGCTCTAGCTGCATTCTGAACAACAACAACCATTCGGAATTCCGTCTAACGTCCAACGATTTTTTATACTGCCGCGTTTCTTACTAAAATGCGGTTTTTCGGATTCTCGAATAGTCCTTTGTTCTTAACTAGTTCCCCTCTCCAGCGGAATGTCGGTTGACTGACGGCTACGCTGGAAATCTAGTTTAGCTAGCATCACAACGCAAACATTCCTGCGCAACAAAAGGTCATGCCTCTTTATAAATCGCTTTTAGCTGTAGGGAATCGGCAGCTTCGCACATATTGCTGTAACCTCTGCAAAGCGGATCAATGATGATAGCGGAGCATTTGCAAGCATTAGGAGGTACTTGTGAATACGTTGCGGTATCTTAGTCCTCACATAGCTTCGACCTACCTGTCTTGCATAGTGATAAGCGGTGGATTATGAATAAAGGAGGTGGCTGAAATCCGTACTCGAGAATGCTTTTCGACTTCACTGCACAAACTTAATTTCGGTTAAACGAACGTTGTTTGCGCACCCTTTTTGTCTTTCGCACGTGTTTATTGCTATTGCCATTCGTCTCATCAAAAGCGTGAAGAGGTAGTTCGTTTAGAGCTTGCTCCTACAAAGTCCATGGAAATGTTGAAATGACTCTTGGACTTTCGGTCTTTGTCGCTGGAGCGGAGAATTACTTAAGTTTTTCAAATCCAATGCCGCAAATGTTTACGTATGGAGAGCTTCCCTCATATAATTGAGGTCATCTTTATCAGGCATTATTATAGTTGTAGTCGATAAAAGCAAACGGCTACGGCGGGCGTTATCGGCAGAGGAAACTGTAAACTTTAATTAACAAACAACAGTTCGAACACAGAGGCGAAGGCAACTGAGAGATCACTGTTTTAGAGACACTGGTACATCCAGGGTAAAGTGAGGGCATTTGTAAGTCTGCCACCTGCTACCGCGTTGAATCTAAACCAACGACCGATTCTTGAGAGGCGAATGCTTTTGTGATGGCTCGTACATGTTGCAACAGCTTCAATAGGCGACCTATTTTTTTCTTATCCCTCTTTCGCTGTCTAATTTCATTTGATCACTTGTGAGTTCGTACGAGCCTTGAGTAGCTTGTAGCGTAACATGTCCTCATTTTAAAGCGAGATCTTTCATCACTGTTTTCACACATTCAGCACACGCCATTTCATTTTTCAAAAGATAGGAGAGTGTACTAACGCCTTGGTTCATGGCTTCTCGTTGTTCCATAGCACAAATAATAAGTAATTTGTGGACAGTAGTCGTGACTGTTCAAGTATTATTTCTAACTCTAGAGGACAGACGCAAGGCCAGTCCTCGTCAACCAAACGTATCTCACACCCTTTGGTATCGATAATTCTTGATATTGAGTTCTGGACCGGAATCCCAATGCAAAAAGTACCGACAATATCCACCACCATTCTTCTAGAAGTCTATATTATTTCGAGGGGGGTGTTATTCCCCTATTCTTCGAAAAGCTAGAAGATCTCCCTTCCTTCTGCGCTTCTAACCATGGCTTTCGTGACCTTGACTAAAGTGCCACCCTTTTGAAGACTGAGCGTGTTCCTAAACGTTCTGATTTTATATTTCAAGTCAACCGATGAGTATTGGGACAAATACGCACTGGTCAAATTTTTTACCATACGCATACCTCCACAAATAAGATGCTGAAATTTATGACCCATGTAGTCGGTCTAGCTTTCCATTCAAATATTTAACCAAGGATGCCTGGGTCTACACAACACTGCGCGACTCAATTGAGATTTCGGATAACTTCTTACCTATCTTCTGTAAGCGGTATAATTCTGCAAAAACCATCGTGATCCTTTAAATTAGTGCACGATGAATATTTCGAAGCAAGTGACCACAATTGCTTTTTTAAAAAGGGTGTTCTAAGTCATTGTCATAGGTTTCCTTCCGAAGTTAAAAACATTTCATCCTCGTCTGCCTTGCTAAACCAAAATGCGCTGTAGTCACTATTTGTTCGACTCGATACCTAGCGTTGTCATAAAAGAAATTTGCGTTACCGTTTTTTCGGATTTTGACACTGCTCTCATGGTAAGGTATTTTAATTTACCGATACTATCGTCAATTTGTGATTTTTCCAGGCGCTAATATTGTCAGTCCAGCTGAGTTCAATGTGACTGCAACCAGTTCAAGCACTGTTTTGCTAACATGGAAATCCAGTGAAGCTGATCTGGGATCGATCTTCTCCTACCGAATCCAGTACAAAAAATCCTCTGACACTGAGTTCCATTGGGTTATTTTGGATTCATCTGCCGAAAAATATACAATATCGCAACTCGATGCAAACACCACGTACGATGTTTCCCTTCAGGCCCTCGGTTTGTTGGAAGATGGAGAAGTCATAAACAAATCAATTTCAACATGTCCTGGTGGTGCGTACATCTTCACTTATATGTACTTATCTTCACTTCATACGAAACAATTTGTTTTAAATATACGTGACATTTCCAACATTAAGTGAGACTACGTATGGGATTAGGTGGACCCCATTCATGACATTGAAGGTGTGTTAACACTCGGATTTATAGCTTCAATCTACCTCGTCATCGTTCATGGACGCACATTATCCTGAACCGCGGGTTGAACGTACAACGGTCCTCACTTTTGCCTATTCCCCATGTAGTGGTCGAGGTGGATTTAACAGATGTAAAGCATACCTCAGCTATAGGTTTTAAGTCATTTTTGCCAGCGTGACCTTTGTCATCACCAGTCGCCTGAATTCTAACTCCGAACTGCCATATGGTCTGGGATAGACAGAGCGAAGACAACCCTATACTGATCTAATGACAAAGTTATTGACCCGTCACAACACGTTAAATGTGTCAGCTTCGAAAGCTACCTATTAACAATGTAGTTTTTCCCGTCCTCGGCCTAAAGGCCTTTAGAGTATCCCTCATCCTTGTGAGACTGGCTGGCTCGTGTGTTTACGTGGTTTAGCACCTGTAAATTCGGAATTTGCAACGTCGACCATTGCGGCCACAGACATACCCAATCATCTCGACTTTGACCTGCCATTTGCATACAATAAGTGTTGAAATAGAGAGAATGGCGTAGGTACTGTTCGAGTTTTGTCCGCCTAAAACCAATGGTCTTGAAAGTCGCCATTGTACCCTCCATACAGAAGAACTCCCAGCAGAGGAGAGCGACCGAAGAATACGGACGCCAGTATAATTACGTAAGAATCAGACACCGATAGCAACATATTTGTCATGGACTAGCTGACATTTGTAGTCACTGTGAAGAAGGGTATTGCATATGCTATACCGTATCTGTTAATATTTTGATTACCTGTCTTAAGTACAAAGTAGAAGCCTGTTGATGATTGGTTCTGTTAACTGCATTATATTAAGGCAGCGTACGTAGGTAGTACTGTTTGGCAGGTGACTGACAGATTCGCCGAAATGTATTTCACCACCTATTCTTTCGTGTATGTTGAGGAAAGACTTGTTTAAGGCCACCTGAAAAAGGCAAAACACCCCCCCTAAAACTTGTTTCTGTGCAGTTCCCAGTACGGTTTCGCAAATCAGTCTCTTGGGAGTCACTAAGGACTCTGTGAACCTAACGTGGAAAAATCCGACCGAGTACTTTGGGAAACCTAATTCGACCCTCCTTGAGTACTGGACACCGGGCAAACAAAGCAAAACCTTCACTGTAGATGCATCTGCTACGAGTCACACGCTCACTGGCCTGAACGCAACTTTACCGTACTACGTCAACGTGGCAGCCCGCACTGAATCCGACTCCAACGGCTGTGGCGGGGGCACCGGAGTCAGGATCCTAGGAGGCCTTTTCTACACACTTTCTGAGGGTAAGTGTCAAAAGTCGCTGATAGTGTCCTTGCATTGCGCGGTAAGCATTCATGCAGTCAGTACCGCTGCGTTTGGTGGGAAAGACCGCACTGCCTCTTATTATTATTTCTTCCCTACAGTTGAATTTCCCCCGGTGGGAGGAAAGTTGACCGTAACGGGTCCTTTCTCCCTCAGAAGGGACTGGAATGCCCCAAATACCTCAGACCCTCGCATCATGGCGCTGACTTATCTTGTGACTGGTGGAACACGAGGTCCCAGAGCCGGTATTCTGCCGATGACCGCTCGTAGCTTGAGCATCAACAATCTGGAACCCAACACTGCATACACTGTCGACATCATCATAGGTAGCGTTTACACCAGGTCTGGCAGCCCACTGACAGCTAAAACCGCGCCCGGAGGTAACCCATTTCTTTTTTCCTTATTTTGCTTTTTTATATAAAGTTAAAAGGCATTGCTTTTAACGCCATTTCAGCCACCCTTAGCAACACTGTCTAACTACATTTTCTTTGGTCAGCCGACTCATTAAGACCGAAATAGTCCGCCCTCCCCTCCCCCCATTGGTTCAAGCCTTTTGTTCACTGGAGCTCAATTAACGTACTTCTCGGGACGAACCAGTCACGTGAGAGGTTTGGGTGGAAGGGATAAGCTAGTGCACTGATAGTCAACAGAAACTGCACTGGTTTTCCTTACGGTATAAAAATATCTATCTGCTTCTAGACGGCCTCTTCTTAGGTTCCTATGCAGCGATCAGGAGCTTAACCCGCATAACTGTACAAAAAGAGCATGTAATGCTGACCCTATTTACGAGTTAGTAATCCATTTAACCAATTATTTATCCACATATGAATGGCATACACTGTCTTTCGATTGCAGGACAGAAACTAATATTTTGGGTAGACAGCCCACACAGGCGGTGCACATGACGTCTACCAGTAACTAGTGGATTGGTTTCGCTGACAAAACCGGCGTCACTGGAATAGCCATTTCTGAGTTATTTTCCGTCCTGAACCAATGACACCCATGTCAGCTGACCATCGAGCAACGGTCCCATCACTGAACTGCCTTGTTTTTGCTGAGGAGTCCTTCTCAACTAGAGATTTATTTTCACCGAGCATTATCTCCTTAAGTACAGTGCGTGACCGATCTCATGAAATGTTGGCAGAAATTCTGAAATGTGTTTTCAATTAGGAAGGATTACTTAGGTGGGGTTGTAATATTGATTAGCATGCAGCATAATCCTATAGTATTTCGGACTCGTCAGGATGTCGGCTTTTCGATGCACTCCTTTACGACCTTCTGCAAAAAATGACAACTTAAGTAACACGCATTTTTCATACTGATTTTCGATGATCTTACTAATCCAAATATATTTTATAGAAAATGTGCGCAAAAATATGCCTTCTTTTACTTGTTCGCTAGGAAATCACACTGTCTTCATATTTTATACCCAAAGTAAGCGTATACTTAAGTTTTAAAAAGTTTCTGATTATGACATTTTAAAGACCTGTGATGTCCATATATAAAACATCGTACATGTCAGTTTACTAAGGCTTCTCATGAAATGTACAACACAGTGCGGATCTATCGAGAAATTTCATGAAATCTATATAGTATCTTCTTAAAGGCAGAGAGGAATATATGATTCTCCTTACGCGGAAAGCATGCACATTGTAAACTGAAATTGCTAAACGCTAATACAATGGCAGATCTGGCTCAGAATTATTCGGGAATTGGAAAACTTGTTCCAAACCTAAATATACACTTACTTTAGGTATAAAATATTAAGTACATTGCCAGTCTGCAGTGTCAATTCATTCAAACAAACTCCGCCCTTCTCCCCTCCTATTCCACCCCCTAGTGCCTGGAGCGCCGACTAACCTAACTGTTACCAAACAAAACAACAACGATCTGGAGGTGCATTGGTCAGCACCCACGAATCCACCGGGGGTTATTGATCACTACGTCTGTTCCCTCTACTCTGGCGACCTCCTAGTGAAGACTGAGTACCCGAGGACAACAGGGCACACCTTTTCTGGCCTAACCGTTGAGCGCGTCTACAGGGTGACTGTGGCTGCCAGTGTACGCCCGAATGATGAAGGTCTCGGTGGTGGTTCTGGCCCTGCCGCTGAAAGTGACCCCATCTTCATGCCAGATCCTTCCAGTAGGTCTTCTTTGCCCTTCTCCACCACCCAATTTTTTCCTGCTGGGGGAAAATTTCAAAATATTTTCTACATTTTTTCCTGTTTAGAGCCCCAGCTTGGTCCTCCCACCATCTTGGCTGTGGAAGCAGCGGGTACAGATGCCATTTCAGTGAAATGGGATCCTCCTACTCTAAATACCGTCGGTGTGTACGGATACAGCATCAATTTCACTGACTCCGACGGCCAAACCATCTCCCGGTTCGCACCCTCTCAACTCACTTTCTATATCATGACGGGTCTAAAGAGCGACGAGTTTTACAATGTGACTATGAAGAGCATCGGCCTGTTGCAAGACAGTGAAATCTCCAAGGCAAAGGGGAACCGCACATTAATAGGGCGTAAGTATCCTTCAGTTGACCTTGGCCTTACTTTTGGCTGTTTTTATAAATTATCGATTCGTTAGGGTGAACTCTTTCCTCGCGAGGTAAGAGGGGGCCCTTCAATAATAAGCTGTTGCATGTTGACTGCGGTCCCTCTAATCGGCAAAACCGACGGAGTTTCCGACCCTGAATGTTGCCTGAGGAATACAAAATCGCTTGTTTTGTAATTTCCTCAAAAATTAGTGCATTAACCTAGAGTAAATCCTTCAGAACAAGCCTTCTCGGACTCCAGTCTAGACTTAAAATGTGTATTTTGACTTAAATCCATCATTTCCAGCGGAACAACCTCTCAACATGCATAAGCCGCCAACAGTCAGTAGGCTTAAGCTGTTTCATGATTCACTGTACTGACCGAGCCTGAAAAGGTTAGTCCTGAAGGTTTGGAGCAAATCCTTCAGATCCAACTTTTCAAACCAGTCCCGAAGGAGCCATTCTTAGTTAACGCATCAGTTTCTGGGGAGTCTTCCGGGTGGAAACTTCAAAACTGGAGTTCAGATCGGAAAGCACGTGGAGTCCATTGGTGGAGACCCACTGATGAGCCGATAACTTCATAGTTGAGCTATGCAGCCCCAGAAAATCGGTGAAACACTTGGCTGGATTTCCTAACTGTCATTCTTGTAAACTCTCCTCTTATCCAGAGGACTTAGAGCGTTCCGTGGGGTTTCGGAAGAGGAATGAGTTCAAGTTACTCTGTAAGTGGTCCTTTTCCCTTAAGGACGAGATGAAAACTTGTACGCGACACTCTCGGCATCGATCTTTTTTCTCCGTATGTGACCTATGGTACACTACTTCCACCATGTTATTCTCCCCAGTAAGAGTTAAGTATATTCGGGGAGTAAGGAAAAACTATGGAGGACCGCCTACTATATTTTTCAAAGGTGTAGTTCTGCAGAATTTTTAGTCGGCCATTCGTCGGCAGGACGACATTGGCTGACTTCTACCTCCCCGAGGAACCGGGGCTGCTGAAATCTCTACATTGGCTCATTATTCTTCACGCCCCACACGTAATTCTTTAGAAAGAGGAAACTCACTTTTAAAAAGTTCGGTGCGGAAAGAAGTCGGGTAGTGAAAAATCTCGAAATAACGGTAGATGGAATTACTACGTCTGCCAGACAAGCAGAAGTGCTAAAACGCTGGTAAATTTACTAAACAGCGTTGGAATTTTCTCACCCCACGCATACACTTGATCACTTCCTTCTCTCCTTTAAATAGTGTGCGGGTTCATGCCCTCAACACATTACTGTACATCAAAAGCTAATGCATTACTTTATTTACTGGGCGTAATCCACCACTTTCAGCGCTTTGCCTATGCCTTTCGTACAAACATCCTTACATTGTTAGGTTGTCTCTCAGTTGAAGGACAATAAAAGCAGAAGCGTCGCTTTCTTTTTAGGGCATTTAGTATACGTGATGATGTCTAAAGCATGTCCGATCCTGAAGAACATCAAAACATGGCACCTTTGGCGACAACGAACATAGTTTCATTGGGCGGTGGGGGGTTTCGAGTGTTAACTCCAATTCAACAGTTAATGGTGGCATTCCTCTGAGTGTTTATTCCTAACGTACTGTCGTTTTCATCTGACAGCACCGTCACCTCCACAGAATGTGCGTGCTACTATCGTCCTGCCCAATACTGCAGAGGTCACCTGGTCTGCGCCAGCCCAATCTATAAACCCAGTCACTGGCTACGTGGTAGAGGCCCTACAGGGTGGCACCATTCTCGGCACTCAGAAAGTACCTGCTGACACTCTAAAGGCCGCCTTCGTATTGCCCAGCTATGCCGAGGTCAAGTTCCTGGTTGCAGCAGAGTCCTCCAGTGGTGTGAGTGCCTCCACGTCTTCCAATGTCGTTTTCACCAAAGGTGAGTCATGCTGTGCTATTCAACCCTCCTACCCTTCCCTGTGCATGTCCAGAGCTCAGACCTCTTATGTCTTTAAACGCAGACTTTCCTTTCCTTGAGGATGAGGAGATGACCAAGTGGATCAGCAATACCCGCTTCATGATCATCCTTCGTGGCACACCAGGAGCAGGCAAGGAGGCCGTGGCGCAATCCATCCGCTCCCGTTTCCCATCTGCCAAGTTCTGCTCTGATGGTGTTGCCCCCAATCGCCGAGTCAGACGGGGGGCTGCTGGTAGAGCCGCCTGCCTGAACAATGCGGTGACCTTCGCTAAGGCTGGCTACAGTCCCATAGTCATCGACAGTCTAATCGAGAACGCAGACGAGTGGGAGGGAAATCCCTATGTAAATCTGTCCATGAAAAACGACTATAATGTCCTCCTAGTGGTCGCCCAAACGCCTGGAACTACGGCGTCCGAAGTACGTACCTTATTGCACAGTGAGAAGAATAGCCTGTCCGTCGATTTGGAAAAGAAACGGCCTTCTCTAGCACCCGTCTATCCTCTCTACTACGGTTGGTTTTGGCCGCCCCGACGTAGTTGCGGTGACAAAGGCTGCAGTCAAACCCAGGACCTTTGGGATGTGAATCCGAGCAGTGTGACAAGAGACCTTATTAACATTTCACGAGTAGCATTCGAAACTATCTTGGCCAACGACAGCTTGCGTGCAACATTGGCAAAAACTTGCAATCTTCGGGACGGCTCGACAGTCGAGGAAGTGGCCGATTTCTGGAAGTCAGCAGTTAATCCCCTGTTCGGCAAGGCTCCCCCCGATAATGAGGGCTATCCGGCACCTACCAGGCCGCATGCTACTTCCTACTTCAGCAACTTCGGGGTCCAACCGGGAGCGAAGGAGTATGCTGATCTTTTGATTGTGAACAAGGCTCTCCTCGGTCGATTAGACAACATCTCTGTCCTCGGTCTCATGGTCTCCAAGCGCACGATTGGCGCTCGTCTAAAACTTGCCGATGATATGCTGCCCTTCTGGCGCCAGAATGATTCGGATGTGGTAAACGGCAGTTTGGGTGGAGATCGACCCTCGCGACCGGTGGGATCCCGTGCGCATGCAACTCTTGCTTTGGCTCACGGCGTTGCTGCTGTGGAGACGGGCTTTGACACAATGCGGGTGGTTGATGCGGAGGCGCGAAACTACCCAGACACAGAGAAAATACTAGTCTCCGACGGTATCATCTATGACATCAAGATGCCATCGACAAAGTCCGGCGAGACTAGCGAACACATCTTCTACTATGAGTTTAGCCAGCCGCACTCCCATCGTGTCATCTTCACTTCTTTCTACTAACCACACATCTTCTTATCCATCATTTCTACTTTTAGATGACATTTATCTTCTTTTCCCTAACAAACTCTACGGTGTGTTGCCTATGGACTTATGTGGCACACGTAGGCGGACCGATTAGCGCCAGAGTCCTCACCTGGTCGTTCTAACTTTGTCTTGCCACGGGACATAAATGAGGGGAAAGAGAAAGTGTGCGGGATGCTGTGCAAGTCTACCTCATGAGACGGGCATAAAGTATCTGACCGGGGTCATAAAAAGGTAACCTGTGCTGCCTTTCTTACGTGAAGTGGGGCAATCGGGGTTATACGGGTGTGGTCTCATAGAAGCGTACTGGTGCGGCCTTAAAAGGAAACTACTCGATGGAGGTCCCGTGTACAGCAGGGTGATATGGGCCCACGTGGTAAAGTAGAGCCTTTGATGTAGGGTAAGCATCGCTGACCGCAAGGAGGCATTGAAGACCTTTTATCCCATATTGAAGATGTAAGGGAGTAGGTCGCGTCGTGATGTTCTTCGTTGGGTACCCAAACCTGACGACAATGTGGGCGGTAAGAATATGCCAAAGGAAGACGCCTATTGCATCCCCTCAAATGCGGACAAATCTTTCGCCCTCCACTAAGGAATTACGTGCAGGAGGTAAGGACAATGAGTCTATATAGACATTTTTGTAGCACTGTGTCCTCGGGACTGTGTAGATTAAGGAATGTCATCCTGCCGGAGTTAGAGCCGTCAAAGAGCTTGGCTGGATTCTGACCAAAAAACTCTCCCGAACAACCCCTATATAAATAAATATAGTAGGCAGTTCGCGATAGTAACCCTTCCCCGGTCATATGCTTGATCATTACCTCTCATTATTAACAGACTCGTGCACGCATTGTGGGTGTAATACGGTGGACATCCTCGTTCTTGATTTCCGAACTGTTCTGTCGAGTCACTGGCGCGGACGAAGACAGCGAGTAGTAGGACTGCCGTCTTAACTTCACACCGTTCGCATGCATTTCGAAGGGCAGTCAGTTGCAGTTAAGATGCGAAGCTCTGGAGCACTCCAATACTACTTAAATGGCGGACGGCGCAATGCCGCAGCTTAGCTTAGGCTCATTCCGGGCACTTACTCAGGTTTGACGTACTTTCGATTACTTCATCTTTGGTTGTTTTATGGCTGTTTAGGCTTGCTTGTCGATCAAGCATTACTCAGGTAAAGCTACGAAACCGATCGGCAGAACACATAATCCCCAGCTAATTACCACACTGTAGCATTCGGCATAAGACACACTTGCAAGAGTGCACTATCTAAATATCATGTATTTTCTATTTAATGTTTTGTACATCAATTTGCTCGTATTCTGTGAAGGAAGTTCACGAAAATCAACTTTTTCCTCACATTTGAAGTATGTACATAAGGGAATGAAATAGGTGAACTTTTGAAGGTTCGGAATTCCCAGAATTTCGCAGATGTCTATACAACTATTGGTCTAGCCTACCTTCCCATCTTCTTACATGCTACATACTGAATACTTACCGAGATCCATGTCTCTATGCAGAGTACAGATACGTATATAGTATAGTACGGATATGGTATACGCAGCAGGCCCATCACAAGGTCTCTTCATACGATCCATAGTCTGGAAACCTTTTAACGGTAGAAACGCAGGTTTTGTTTCAGAATGTACAGGTATCATCGAGCCTGCTTAAGATAAAAAAAGCGCCCTTTCCTTAAATTACAACTTCTAGATAGGGCTATTTTCCCATAATGAGAATGTAAGGAACGAAGGTTTTGTGTTTTGCTTCCATAAGATTCAATAAAATTTATATAGGCCCCAAAGCGGTATTATTAACAAGTTGGCTCAGTAGCACATTCCCGTTTGATTAATTAGTTAATAATTGATATTAATTTAATATTGAGTTTAATGACTGAGTCCTGTTTAGTGCCGGGTAAACCTGCCTTCCTTACGCTGTCTGTGGATTATTGTAACCCTGCAAATGCCTGGGTATTTGAGCTCCAGCTTATGACTCCGACACATGTTAAGTCCGCATTTTAAAAATCTGTTCCTGTACTAACTGAAAAAATCCATCCAGCAATAAGGGACTTATTTCAAGACTAAAAGACAGGAAATGACGTACCCGTAAAACGTCGGAAGCTCCTGGTAGTCCACACGTCGCGATCCGCAAAACTTGAGACCTAGTGTAGTAGCGCCGACATGAATATGATTGTTTTTTGTACTGACGGAAGCTAATGCGGTACCTACTACTCTTTTTCACAACCATATTCCAATGTCCAGAAAAAGCCAACGTTTCGGGTCATACTCAATGACTAACTTGATATAGAACCAACGTCTGCATGGCTGTGTGCGTCCACAGACCGACTTCAAAGGCCTACATCTCTCATTGAGCCATGTTGAGCTGGAGCTATCACAACCTGATCTTAAGTTTTAAGGAGGATCAAATTGTCTTCTCGTCTGGTTGACTTTCCGGCCACTTAAGCGCGAGGATAACAAGAGGGAGCGTCAGACAAATTTTTGGTCGGCGCGAGGAAAGCATCTTGAGTTCGGTCGTACTCTCCTTCCAAATCAGATGATCACTTCTCGAGAGCGGTAGTGACTTTACCACTATTTTTACCATAACTAGGGAGACTGGCACAGAATTTGAACTGCTTCCTATCGTTCCACAGCCGTTATGTTCCAGTGCCAACCCAAAGTTAAAATAACGGCCCAGTGAGCCGTCAGAAATAAAACTCTTGTCTACATGTGTCAGGGGTCTCCTGACACCTCTCTCCTGCGTGGCGAAGTTCAAGAAAAATTAACCAAAATTCTGGACTGCGTTTCCGACTAGAAGGGGTTACTTTGTCCTGATCGCAAGATATTTCAGCTACGCGAAGAAGCCAGCTTCAGATGTACTTCTTTCGGGCTTCCTGCAAAAACTACGCTCAGTAAAAAAAGTTATCATTAGTATGTTGGTGTTTTTACGCTAAGTAGTGGTAGTAATACTCTTTAGAACTGTCCGCTCGAGAGAATGGGATATCAGTTGATTTTGGGGAAAGTTTTTGGACTATAAATTATTTTTTTTAAAACGATCGGCCATTTCATTTGCGTTTACGAAATGCAAGTGATGTCCATTTAGTGTAAGGGGAGTTACATCGCTATGCCATAACAAGAGAATCATATAGGACGACGGATGTGAGCCGTTTTGTATAATTCATACAAAACATTAAATAGCAAACAGATAGGCTGCTATTTAAACGGACATTTCACTATCTTAAAAAATCTCATAGTTAAAAACTTCTTAAGACCGAGGGTTATCTTTTTTCGAGTATAAAATTTGAAGAATACGTTAGTTGCTACCAAAAGAACATAAGGGAGCACATTTTCGTGCATGCTTTATATAACTTTTATCTGAAATTGCAAGTCAATCGAAAAACAGTAAAAAAATCCATAATTATTAAGCAGGCACTTTTGTCGAGCGGTTTCTGTAAGTAGGCGGAAAGCAGCGCATTCAAAAGCGGGGCATTTCAAGCCTGAGACTGCGGTATCGTCAGTCTACGATGGCGCAACTGCTCTATACTTTTCCTTCGAGCTCCATCATCCTATACCTTCGACACCGTACACAAATTATGTCACAGTTCGTGGGTAAGTGTCGCATACGGTAGGTGGGTTAACTCATGAAATGTCAACAGAAATTCCGAAATGCGTTTACTGTTTCGAAAAGATTCATTAAGTAGGGTTGTAAAACCAATTCTCGTACAGCATAATTCTATAATGATTCAGTTACCCTAGGGGACCAGCTTTCAAACAAACTTCTTTTCGGCTGCATCTAAAATCCATACTCCGTAACAAATGGCTACCTAAATAGCATGCATTTTTTCATTGATTTTCGATGCCCCTAAAAGTCCAATTATATTTCGTGAAAACCA